CCGGGACGGTCACGCGATTAAGAGCGCGGTAATCGCCACATGGTCGCCAACCGCCTGACTTCTTTGGCACCATGTGGAGCGGCGACGCCCATGAACTGTCTGAGGGCTCGACAATGCCCAAATCGAGTAACCGGCCAAACTCGTCTTTAGCGATCTTGTGTTTGTCCGGCGCTAAGCGTCGAGGTCGTGCCGAAACTGGTGGGCCGGTTGTGAGTATTCTATGTGTGACGTCATGTTTCAACGGACAGTTCTTAAACATGGGCCGAGTTACTTCCGTGAACTCGGCAAGTAAGCGTTTGTAGACAGAATCGGAGTCTACTTGCACTATTGTGAGATTCAGCTACGGTAAGTCGGAGGCGATGCCATGTACGGACAGACTAGTGGTGGCATCCCAAAGTCGGTTTGTGCGCAAATCCACCAGTAAGCCGTAATGCCTTAAAAAATCTGCGCCGAGGATAGGCTGCGAAACATCGGCCAATATGAATGACCACTTAAACGAACGCCGCAGCCCAATACACACTGTGAGCTCACGCTGCCCATATGTGCATATGCGCGTCTTGTTTGCAGCCTGCAAAACAAGTGGCATAAGGTGCCTCTTATCAGCGGTGTTGGCAGGAATTACGCTTACCGCGGCACCCGTATCGACCAAAAATCGTGTCCCAGAATCTCTATCTGTGACATAGAACAAGCGACCGTCACGAAGAGGGCCAGTGAGGCTTGTCGCGCCCACCTCCTGGCCTAGTTGTTTTCCGCCGGCTTGCTATATGTGCATGGTGGGCGGCACTGGTGAGCCTTCTCACCCCACTTCTCATGATACCAGCACAATTCTGAAGTGCTCGCTGATTTACTACCGGATGAGTCGCGCTTACGGTTACTGCTCATGCTGCGGCTTCGGCTTCGGCTCCGCATGCGACCGACAGTGGCAGTCAGCTCCTTCACCATTTTCGTGAGCTCAAGGACTTGGTGTTGAAGATCGGGGTTAGAGTTAGATACAGCTGCGACTGTGGCGCTGGGTGCTGAAATTCCAGTGACGGGAATTGACGCTTCTAGAATTTTATCGGCTAAATTGGCCAACTCAGAAAGCGGAAGCGCGTCGCTCGATGATGCCAGAATGAGGCGGACATTCTGTGGCAGGCGCTGCAGAAACAATTCCCGCAAAATCCCCTTCTCTAGCTGCTGCATGCCTAGCAGCTGCTGCATGCGCCTCAGAAGTTGACTAGGTTTTCGGTCGCCTAATTCCTCTTCATTCAATAACATCTGAACTCGGCGCTGTTCAGAGGAGGTCATTCGCGATATGAGCAGGGCACGCAGCTCAGTATAAGGCTTGATCGGGGGTGGACTAATCAATATGTCGCGGATCTCGAGCGCAACATCCGACGGCAATGTCGCTATAATATAGGCGTATTTGGTCTGCTCGCTGGTTATGCCTCTAGTCTCAAACTGAGCAGAGGCTTGGGCAAACCATACCTCCGGGTCTCCCCTCCAAAAAGGGGGGAGCTTAATGCTGACTGCGCCGACGCCTTGGGTGGCCTGTACGCTAGCCCCGGCCGTGGCTCCCGCCTGCTCATGCTCCGGCGGAGGGCCCTCCTCGGCAGTATTTGGTGCGGGCATGACGACGCGCCACGTCCACTGTTCACAAATCTAAATTCAGTGTATCAGTAAGAAATGTGATTACCTAATGGTAAAAAAAAAAATATTAATAAGCAAAGGTAATCTAACTAAATGTTTCTTATCTCAGGGGGATCACGTCGGGGTCACCAATTTTGAAAACTACATGGGGTATGGACTACGTTGCGTGTTAACTAGTAATCCCACATAATTCCTTTTTTAATTAAACTACTAAAAAGCAGTATCCCTCTAGACAATAAAACACTTAATAAATGATCACATCCAGACAAATTGCTTATGGTTAAAAACTGGTTCTATATTCTATAATTTCACATAAGAAACAATGATTACAGAATTATCAGAAACCTCTTCTGTCTATCTCAACAGTGACAGACAATTAAACTATCACTAGGCCCTTGGTAGTTACTATTAATAATCAAACATAGATAACTTCCAACAGCACATTAATGTAAAGGAGACTCAACTTAGGCACTATGGTATTAATGATTACCGCTTAATACAAGTCTCGAAATATCAGGAGTCCTGTTCAGTACAACTTAAGACAGTACTAAAACAAGTCAGTTAAATATCATGCACACTGCATGAATAATAACAGTCAAGAAAATACTACTCAAATCTAAGCTAGACTGTAGACAGCGTTTAGATTTACTTACATAGGCACGAAATATTGTGGTTCAAGAAACCACTAAACAAATCTCTACTTGTGTATGTGTACGGAATGCACAACACGAGAATACAACAATATATCAGTGGATCTAGACTATAGCAGATCTAGATCAGTAGACCAGGTATATATAGGCCTAGAACTAGTGCATGTAAAATATGTGTTAGTAAGCGTACGCACTCAACAACAGGCACTCAGTCAGTCAAAATAAGGCATCACAATGATAAACAATGCAAGGCATAAATCACAATATAATTAACGTTACGTGAGTCATTGGAGTTGAAATTCAGAGTAGATCTTCTTCAAGTTCTAGATAGATGTAGAAACTAGCTAGTCGAAAACAGTGGTCGATGAGCTGGTTGTCGATCGCGTAGAAAATGCAGACGATGATCGACGCTAGATGAACGATAACAATGATACATGAAGACGATGACTAGTCTACGTCTACGGTGATGAAGACAATGATGGTGCAGATGATGATGAAGACAACGATGATGAAGACAACGATGATGAAGACAACGATGATGAAGACAACGATGATGAAGACAACGATGATGAAGACAACGCTGGTGAAGGCGATGATGTCGATGATGATGATGAGACAGTCAATCGAATACAATAATGATGCAGTCGAGGTCAATAGATCAACTTGCGATGCAGGTCGAAGAATCAAAATGTCAAGACAATATATATCATATGAAGTCGATGATAAAAGGTTGTCAAACAATAATGCAGGTGAGAAAAGCTTTAGATCATATTAAATGTTCTATTCTCACTGCTGGTGAATTAAAGTGTCGTCAATGCTGAACATCGAGAGAGTCAAAATATATCTTGCAAAACGTACAAATGTAAATAGGTGAGCACGTCCACCGGGATGGTCCGGGGACGTAGCAGTTCAATCCTCGTTGGATACAATTTTCTAGGTACAAATATCAACACAATAACAGCATGTGTGTATACCAATATTAAAACAGCTCACTGATTCCCGCACAGGAAAATCAGAAGAGCGCCAATCAACTACAGCGCGATTGGTTCAAAACAAGCGCACATGTATGTTAATAAGGCACGTGATCTAAATACTTATGAATAAATACGCGTACATCTATGTTAATTCATCATGTGATGAAAATACTAATGAATAAACATCGTTATATAATAAATCGAGTTAAAACCAGTTCTGAGGACATGGCGTAATACCAAATCCTCGAACTCTCAATGACTTCTAAAGCGGCCATTTTGGATTAAAAACACAATATGTATACCAGTGAATTATAAATGAATGCACTGTAACATTTGTCGCTACAGATGCAATCAAAACGAAAATCTCCTAAACAAAGCTCAATGTGACGCTCACAGATTTACATCAACGGTCCAAAGGTAAGCTAAAATCATCTCTATTGATTATAGGTCCTTAGAGTATCCTTAAGTCGTCTGGTGTTAGTGATTTTCAAATATCTTTTTGTCGGATACGGTGCTTGGTCCCACCTCTTCATATTTGTGTCACCGGTATGGATCTCAAGACTCCACAATTGCACCACCTCGACTCCACACAGACATACCAGCTGCATTACTATCCTGGCTGTGCTATTATTATTAATGATACTTAACATTTCAAACACCACTGTACAAAACTCAACTGATTTCACTAAAAAAAATCAGTACTTTAGTGACATTTGATGACACCTAGAGTCTAGACTAATCTAAATTAGCAGTAAAATTTAAAAAAAAACTTAGAATCTAACGTCTAGATCTAGGTCTAAGTTAGGTCTAGACCGAATTTTCCGTCTCTTTCGTTCGTTAGCCTCTTGGGGTAGGGTCGGCCGCTCTCTCTTTAGAGACGGAAACCGTCTATACACATTCCCTTGATAACGCCACGGCCATTTCAGGTCGTAGCGTTTTGCCCCCAAAATCCCCCAAAATGTCATTTTACCTCGTGCATATCCAAATGTAAATTAGGTCTAGGCCTAGGCTATAATACATCGGTTCCACTTACTAACTTGATTGAAATAATCCGTTTAATGGTCCCTTTTAAGGAAATTATGGGTCAAAATCGACATCCATGTTGAAAATCTTGCAAGCCGTGTTAAACTCTCGCTGCCGGAGTCATCTAAATCAATCTCATCCCTTCTAGTCTACGCCGAAGGCAAAATGATTATGAAGGAAAAACTGTGATAACGCCATTACGAACGTGTAGATGGCGCACAGTTTTTCCTTCATAATCATTTTGCCTTCGGCGTAGACTAGAAGGGATGAGATTGATTTAGATGACTCCGGCAGCGAGAGTTTAACACGGCTTGCAAGATTTTCAACATGGATGTCGATTTTGACCCATAATTTCCTTAAAAGGGACCATTAAACGGATTATTTCAATCAAGTTAGTAAGTAGGCCTAATTTACATTTGGATATGCGCGAGGTAAAATGACATTTTGGGGGATTTTGGGGGCAAAACGCTACGACCTGAAATGGCCGTGGCGTTATCAAGGGAATGTGTATAGACGGTTTTCCGTCTCTAAAGAGAGAGCCGGCCGACCCTACCCCAATAAGAGGCTAACGAACGAAAGAGACGGTAAATTCGGTCTAGTCTAGGTCTAGACCGATGTTAGAAAGAATAATTTAAAAATTCAAATTGTAAGTCTAGATCTACTGTCATGTCATAGACTAGTCTACTTGGCGTATATTCTCATCCTTTCATTACTCATAATTCATGTGGATGTTACAAGCAGAACTTTAGATAAGAAACAGGAGAAGAAACAGAGAAATTTACCTGAGGAGTATTGTAAACCACCAGTTAGTATGTCTCCAAAATGCAAGAGTTTATCTTTCTGTCTATCAGGAGGAATAACCAACTCTGGCAGACCCAAATATGATTTGAGGAACACTTCTTGTGTATTCAGGCCAACAATAAGTCAGACTTATGGAAATCCACTTTTGACTAGCTTTAGGGTATATGTATTTGATAAATATGGAAAAACGTTCAGATCTTTCTTGAATAAAGAAAGAGTATCAAATTACAGTGCATTTCAGGTTAGGAACTTTCACCAACTTCTATCCTTAAGTTGGCAACCTTGTGCTGGTATATCAAGGACAGGAGCATATCCATACATGACTACATGGAGTGGTCATCTCCCATTAGAAAGGGTGTCCAGTGGGCCTGCTGCAGTACGCTGTAAATCTACGACCACGACAAGGGACAAGCTCCGTGCAAGGATCCGGAGCAAGCTCCCTGATCTCAAGGAGGAAGAGCTGGAGGAGCAGTTTGTAAGGGGGTCTGGACCAGGAGGCCAGGCCACCAACAAGACCAGTAACTGTGTGGTCCTGAAACATATCCCAACCGGACTTGTTGTCAAGGTAACAGGGTCCATTTAACTTGACTATATCTCTGTAGTATAAGGACCACAAATTTTTGTTGTAGGCTGGCACTTTTACTACTTCCCTACAAAGAGGATGTTATGTGTATATTAACGAAGAAATTATGTAGGAAGGCCATCTGTCTATAATGACCACTTTTTTTTTTAATTCCCTTGGATAACCTTTATGGACAGACTTACTCTATCTTTCTTTAACATCCAGTGTCATAGACATGGGCAAGGTATGTATTGTGAGGGGGGGGGGGGTGGATTTTGATGATCTGTTAGTCATACTTCACCCCCCTTCCCTCCCCCTTTAACATTTTGATAGTGGTAACAGGATACGCAAACAAAAACAACAGAATATGTTTAGGTTGGGTATCATTTTTATCCATCAGTGCCATAGAATCATCTTATTTTTAAACATTGTGTAATTGTTATCATCTTTTGCATCTGCTTGTTTTTAAAGTGTCATCAGACGAGATCTCAGAGCGAAAACCAGAAAATTGCCCGTCTCTTGATGAAAGAGAGGCTGGATCAGCATCTCCATGCCGACCAGAGCGCCATCTCTCAATACCAACAGACCATGAACAAGAAGCGAGAGGAGAAGAAACGAAAGACGCGACTGAAACTTGAAAAGCTGAAGGCACTACGATCGAGTGTAGATGATGAGGAGGAGGAGTCAAGTGGTAATGGAAATCAAGATGTTACAGACAAAGATATGTGAGACTTCCCTTCAATAGAGTAAAGAAATAAAACCATTGAAGGCTTGATTGCAATAAGAGAGATTTTCATACAAGAGTAGATTTTCAAACTAGCTAAGGCATATTTGGCATAATTCATATAAGGCATAATTTTATTGTTTACTTGTCACCACAAGATAAATAAAATTAAATGAGATAGCCAAAATTTATTCTTTTATGAGAAAGTTATGAATTTGAAAGTTATGATCACAATAGGTATGGACTCTTCAAATTGGCTAAATGGGTAATGTCTCTGTGATGTGGTTAGTAGCAGACAACGTTCCCGTTTGTTCCAACACAAATATATGATTCAGGAAGGTCTTATCGTTTTAGAGGACCTATAATGAATAATATATTTTTATTAGTGCCTCAAGGGAGAAGGCACTGTACACGGCAAACAGGAGAGTTATCCGCGACTATGTCGCAATGCACTGCCCAAACTGCCAGTTTCTTATTATTGGTCTGATTTATTTCAAAACTTTGCCATTTAGTTTATCTTATTTTTCTGCTTTCAAAGAAATGAAATTATTACTAGGGTTGGATTGCCCTTTAATTGTCCTGTTATTGTCCTGTAATAAACATAGGAGGGAGCTGTTGCATTTGTAATATGTAGTTACGTATTAGTTTTTTTCATATGACTCTGTATTTGTTAATGGCTTAGAGAAAAGTATGGACAATGGTATTTTCTCATCTTATGATGACTCTGATAACACTTGTAGCGTTTTGACCCTATTTAAAAATTGCTGGGTATGCTCGTCTTTAAAGGTTCTAGGCAAAACACAATTGACATTGGCTTGCCCGTTATGCTGCATATGAATGAGATTATTTGTATTTTTTACTTTCAAAATGAGCAATATGATTTCATTCAAGTCTAACATTAGACTTTGCTAAAATATTATCAGATTTGTTTCCTTTTTCACAAATAAGAGAGGCTTTTAATTTATTTCAATTGTTTGTATGGAATCCTATGCAGGAAATGGTTTATGAAGAAATATAGATTGATTTGTTTTAAATTGACCAATATGACACTGCTCTGCCTTCTAATCATGACAGTTTCCATTGACTACATATGAAGAGATATGTGCATTATAAATAACAATTGTGCATCATTGATTAACATCGCAGTTTAGCTTCTAGTCCTGAAAGTGCCTTACAGCAGTCTGAACATTGAACAAGTGTGTCAGAGGCAAAGCTTCTGATGATGATGATGATGATGATGTTGGAAAATAAATTGAAAACAAACAAAATAGAGAGAAAATGTCTTTATTTCTGATCCGATTATACATGTATACGTTGTATATACCGCTTATTCTTTTCTGTATGTACATGTAAAATAATAATATTAATAGTGAACATTTATAAGGCGCCATGTCTGTCAAAAATGACACTCCTGGCGTAGTATTAATGACTTTCAACTAAACCAACTCCTGAAGTCTATCTCATCTGGGGGGTGTTTCACTAAAGCCCTAAAATCGATCTAAAATCGATTTGATCGATTTTAAGGGCCTAAAATTGATTTCGATTTTAGCAGCAGTTTCACTAAATAAATAAAATCGATTTTGGCCTTAAAATCGATTTTAAGTTAGAGTGTGATCCATATCAATTTTAAATCAATTTTATCCTTATTCATTGCATTATTGATATGCTATGTTCAGCATTCATTGGTTTTAAAGGCGCAAGTGTCGGCTAGCTTCAATTTGACCATACATCTGAAAATTAGGAATTCTGTTCTTGGGGGAACAAATCTTTGTTCATAACCAATTTTTTTAAAAAATCATCATAGATCTAGTTAGGCATTATCAATACCAAATGCGGCACTCTGGAGGGGGGGGGGAACACAATGGCCCATTTTTTTCTTCAAAATACATGGGCGCCCGTTTTTTCCCTTAACCCTATCTAGCCTGGGGGGGGGGGGGGCTTATCCAGCCGGCGGCACGGGAGGGGGCCCAATTCGTGAGACAATATTTAGCAGCGAAACAGCCGGCCGATAATTCGCTCAGGGGAGGGGGGGGGGGGGTAGTGAACAATCAAAAAAAAAATATTGGGGGGGGGGCCCTCGAAAATTTGAAAAATCGCACCCCCTCCCTTGAGCGCCAAGGGAGGGGGCCCATCTCCAAAAAAGGTACAGTTAACGTGTTCTTTCACGTTTTTTTCTCCAGGGGAGGGGGCCCGGATCCCCCAGGCTATGCAGTTTCAAAATAACCCATGCTAGATAGGGTTTAAGTGCCCCTTTTACATCTGATTAACATCCCTTTTTATTAATTACAAGTGCACTTTTCCTTCATGTAGTTTGTCCCGTTTCACTTTGTTTTAAAGTTCCTCTTGTTATTTCTAATAACTTTTTATTTTTCTTCTTAGAAGTGACCCTTTTCCATTTTGTTATGTGCCCCTTTTTCTATATTTTTTTTACCATATGCGCTTACAATTATGTGTCCTTATTTCGTTCATATTCTCTCTCTCTCTCTCATTAACATAAAACGACACTCCCATCACAACGCTTTGTTTGCCGTAATTTTGTTTCTTCATGAACACCCCCCCCCCCTCCCTCACAAAAAATAAATAAAGAACAAAAATGAATAAATAACACCAACTTATAACAATAACTCACCAGCATACAAACACACCATTCTTGAATCACATCATTGCCCTTTATCATCATGTAATTATTATCACCATGCGCTAGCGTACAATCTCATCTATTCACCCCCCCCCCCCCCTTTATCTTCTTAAAAGACAAAAAATACATACAAAATAAAATTACACAGATTTTAAAGTATAATCAATATGTTTATGCTTTAATGAATGAAATCTACATTTTGTAAATGATGAGCATAGCAAACACATTCAAGGGATACAATTACAATATTTTAAATGACACAAATAAAAGTGCTCCTATGAAAGTATCAGCCAGTTGTTAAAACTACTGCAGCTGATATCTGCCACTCTCTATTCGAGTTACCTTTATGGAGATTAAAAGAGTAATACTAGTCACAAATATTTCTGTTACTCATACGGTTGTTAATCTAAGGATGATATACATTGTCATGTAAGGTCACGCAGTCGGTGAGAATGTGGTTTCTTGATGCAATAGTTTGTCTATATGAAATTAATCATCAATTTTTTTCTATCAGCTTTGACAACAAATTCTAAGGACAACATAAGTCAGAGTTAATATATTTCCTGCAGGAAAAATCTGTTTTCACTCAATCACAATGTTCTGTTGTTTATTTTGTATTTGTTGTTGTGCAATTGCTACAATAGCACTTTAAGCACCAACAGGCAATTATCGATATATAGTCATGCAAGAAGTGCCTCTAGGAAGAGTTCCAAATAGGTCATCAAACTGCTGCTCAGATGAATGGCTTATTAAGAAATTCCAATTTGATATTTTAAGATTTATTGCCATGAACAAAATTATCTATGTAATGTGAGTTTGGTAACAATAACCTCCATGACAGAATAATAGCTTTTTATTTCTTCTCTTTTCTTCCGTAAGATTCTAAAATTCTGTTTAAATTATAGGAAATCTTGGAAGTATCATTAAAACGTTTACTTCCTTTAAAATATTTTATGTTAACATGTTATCAAACCCAAAACCTCAAACTCGCTGGCAAAGTTTTAGTACCTTGACTAGAGCATTTTTAATAGCTTATAGGAATTAATTTGTAAATCTTATTTTACAAGTAGTGTTGGTTGTAAAAAGTGACCAGTCCATGATACCAAGATCTGTATCTCATTGTGGATCCTCTTGCTTAAAGCTGGAAAAGGGAGCTTCTACCTGTAGGCTGGCTGATGTTTCATAAGAAGCATAACGTTGCAGGTAATTCAGGCTCTGCAGTCTAGAATAGGAATTGAAAGTTATGTAATAAATGAATCAATTACTAAATACTAGTACAACTTTTCAATCAATCTTCTTTTTTTGTATTTATGATTATTTCAAATACTTTAATTGCTAAATAAATAAAGTAGGAGAATAAAAATAGTTACAGAAGATAAATGATTAATTGTTTGCTTTGGATTAAAAAAAAATCCTTTCATTACCATTTGTGTATGTTTTATCTAACATAATGGGTAAGATGGGTATTAGACTTCTTACAAGGATTATGAAAAATGATAGATCAATTTTGGTAATTGATACTGCTTACCTTTTCAATTTGAAGAGATTGACAATAAATGTTCATTTGTCATGAACTAGCAGCTCTTTATTTTGCAACCTAGGATTTAAAACAGAGATACATATATTTGTTATGAAGAGAGCACATCTATTTTTCAGAAAAGTAATTGTCACTGTATCAAATGTGTACAAAAGAACATAAGTACATTTTTATCAGTAATTACAACAGTAATTTACATGTATTCGGTCCAAGACATTGTTACCAACCAAATTGTAAGTTTTAGACATTTGGAAGATTGACTATGGAGTCTAATCTTGATCTCGGATACCCTGCTCTTGAACCAAACACTGTTGTACACAGATTCAATGAACATTCCCCTGTCGTGAGTAGAAGGCAAAGAGGTATAAAACAAACAGAGCAGCTTTTATCATACATATATTCTCATTACAGTTTGTTCAATCACCTCTTTATTCATTAATTGCTGCCCTATTATTTGTACAATATTAATCAGGATGGCTGATGAAGCAATTTATCTATGATTGAGACATGTCATAGTTGACTTCCCCCTCACATGGATTTATCAGTTTGCGATTGTACGTAGAAAATTTAATGAAAATCAAGATTTACACACTCAACAACAAATAAGTAATCTATTTATACATATGTCTAGAAGAACCACACCAAAAAAAACTTACCTTTGTTTTATCATTGGTGTGCAAATTCTACTAGTAAGAAGATCACTCCACAAGGCCGCTTAGCACAGTAGGATCTATAGCTGTACACCTAGACATTGAGCTTGAGTACATTCTGCATATCTGAACCCTTTCCTTGAGCCTGAGGCCAAGGAAGAATGAGAAGTCCAAGACTGTAGAGACACGGCAGAAGAGAACTTTTGAGTCTTGGACTAAAGCCAAGGTCTAATTGGTGGATACGACTTG